AACAAATTATTCTTACAAATCCACAGTGTGTTAAAACAGCCTCCACTATTCCCGCTGTGAAGTTGGCACAATTCAGTGTTCCTTTGTCTTTGGGCACACTAATATAGGTGTTCACCAATGGCTGTTTCTCAATGATATAGTAGGTCCTTTCATCGTCGTTGGCATGTTCCAGTTTTTCTGCTTCTTTGCCAAATAGATTCTTCCACACTGTGGTCTTGACAAACAGCAGCATTTGCGTCAATTTGGTTTCTCTTTTCGAACTTCGTTCTCGCATAAAATAGAGATCAATAACACGGGTGCCCACATCCTGGCCCAATTCATGTAGACTAGGGAAACCACAAAACACTCATTATTTATTATTTTTCCAATATCATCCTTGCTTACCGATTCTGCAGTTCTGGCACCGTATACACTTTGCTTTGACAATACTGAACAATTTCGCTGAACAACAAGGCCACAATACTTTCCAATTAGAAAATTAGTAGGAATTCAATTGGAATACATGGAAAAGAAAACCATGGTACAATTATAAAAGGTAACAGCAAGTCCCAGCTGATTTGATTCCATCGTAATACTAGTGTCAATATGAATTTGACAAATTATGTTTTTAAAAATCACCCAACAGGAAAATTGGGAACGCATACAATTTGAAATTGTTCTTTATTAAATGTGCTCCCGTATTCAATTTACTCAATCTGGCTGCTGGGAAAGTTTGAGGAAGCAAATCTTTCTTCAAGGAATAACTCGCTATTCCCAGCATTTTCATATGAGTTACACATATATATAGCAATGGCTCAATTATAGGAAAGATGTGGAAGCGATAGAAATATAAATTTGATAGATTTTCATTCATGTTTTTCAATTTTTATTTTGAGGATTCGAAAATATTTCATTTTCAAAATAAAAATAATTTGATGATAATTTGTTTGTTTGTTTACATTTTTCTGTCAAATGAGTTGACACTAGTAGAACTTACAACAACAAATTTCCATGTGGTTGTTGTATCGATTTTTGTACAAAAACACTTGCTGTTACCTTCTATTATTATACCATGTAATATATCTATACTCGATTTAATTTCCTTAACAAGAATTTTCAGAATTCCGGCTAATTTCGAGCTACACCTATTGAAATAGACCTATATAGGCAAAAAATCTGTAGCCAATAATTTTGACATGGACAAATTTTTCCCGATACCTTTGTTATCAGACAAAAGCATGCTGTGTTTGGAAGGTCATTTCAAATTTTCCTGAAATTAATATCAGAGGTTAGTCGCATCTTCCTGAACACAAAAATATATACCTGCAACTCTTCCACAGGTGGAATTCCATACTTCTCGAGATATGGGCTTCTAAAGTTCCGAAAATTTTGTGTTCATAACATTATGGAATTTTGTGTTCATAACATTATGTTTATAAATCATACACTTTTGAAAGTATATCACATTAAATTCCTCTTCAAAATAGCCAGTCTTCGGCCGGCTATGGATAGTTGGAAAATTTGGCTATACAATTAAAATTCCTTTTATATATATATTTTTTTTTTGATAACCGTCCTTTGATTTATGCTTTTCCCTTTGAGGTATAAATAAGTATTGTGTAAGATTTTATTAGTCCCTAATGCTTCCATATTTCTAAATAAATAAATAAATTGGATAAAAATGGATACGACCTCAATAAATGAAGAATTGCTAAATAATGTGTGGTATAATAACTCATATATACCTATTTATATTAAACATTTTTAGATTAGACCAGATAACGCTAGAGATTTTTTTTAATATCTTAAACTTAATTTTAGAACTTACATTTAATTTTAGAACTAGCGTGAAGCTGGAAGTGGGCGAAATTCTGGGTTATTGGAGATTCACAACGTTTTTGGCAAAACTATTTTGATCTAGGTCCATGTTTTGACCGATGTAGACCACACCTACCCGCATAATTTGAAATACCTGATGAATAAAATACTTCTTCCCAGCAAGTTTGTGGTGCCCTGTTTATAATATGATCCCTCTAAATTAAGGTGACCATACGTCCTCTTTTTTAGAGGACAATCATCTATTTTAACTGGCTGTCATCTATATAATTTCGTTTTCGTTGTAGATGATCTGTATTAAATCTGTCATACTTCATAAGCTATAACTTCATTATTCCTCCATTTATAGACAAATTCTTTTTAATTCGTAATATCTGAACTGTTTTCTGTAAAATAAAAACATAAAAAAATTTTAAATTTTAACATCACATATTTTGATTTTTGTCCACTGAGGCAACCGTACAAAACATTTCGACATAGTGGGGAAGTTGAATATTTTTGTACGTATAGGGGTTGTAAAATATTCTTGGAAAATATAGTCGACATAGGTCTACTTCTTTGCTATGTTCCTTATATAATGATCCCAGGATTATTCGCTTCGGATCAAAAATATGGCCCGCTCGTACTTAACGCTTTTTTATCTAATTTTATATATCTATAAGTAATTTTAAATGTAAGTTGATACACATACATAGCCTTATCTAAATTGAAGTTTATATCCCAGATTTGCAACCTAAGAGTATGTAATTTTGTATTTGATTCGGCCGAATTGGTTTTTGCAAAGAAAGAAAACCAATGTTTCCAAAAGGCGTTGAGTACGGTCAATGCTCTGATAGTATCGGATTTCATAAAAATGACGAATAAACTATTAAAAAGTTATCAACATGTTTAAGTTCAGACAATTGTTTGTTAACTGCGAACTTCAAAATACCGAGGATCGGGTCAAACTTTTGGAGACGTACCAATGTTTGGTCTTCATCGACAATAGTCTGTGAGGTGAGTTTTTAATTGAAGCTTTAGTACTAGAGCCACGGACGTGAAAAAAGTGAAAACGACAAACCATATCATCAAATTGTATTACAGCATGTAACTGGATACTCAATGGGACTTTTTATTGAAGAACTGTATCAACATTTCACTCCGTTTACCATAATACGGACTCGAGACTATACCCAAGAGTTTATATTTACATTCTCGATTTCAAATTTCGATGGTTTTCAAAAAGTATTTGAAGACTTAAAGAAGACGAAGATGAAAATAAATTGGCAAAAAAAATTTGTTGTTGTTTTTTTGCAATTAAAGAAAATCCTCCTTTTCGATGGCGGGCATGATTGTCGATCAATGGAACATGCGAATCACAAAATTCCAAAGCAATTAGAAATACTACATATCTGTCTCTGGTATGAATTAGGATTATTGGTTTCGCACGAAAATCGGCGAAATGACCTAAGGAAATTATTTTGTGGAAAATCACGAACCAAACTAGAAAATAAGAAAGATCTCCTTAAATGCCATATAAATGGAACCAGTAGAATGACTAGAAAAAAGGTAAAAACAAAAACAAACTTCGATATGATCTTTCAAAATATTTAATAAGGGTCTATGCTGCCAGAAGAAAACAAAATAACAAACTCTCATGTTGGCTAACAACTTGAACCTATCGAAAATTTTGATTCACCTTTGTAAGGGGGCTATGTAGAAACTTGGGTTTATATTGAAAATGATCTGTGAACAAGTTGTTTATCCACTTAAGTCCCGTAGTGTTAAATTACAACCACTCTTTGAAATAAAAAATATAGTGACTTCAACTTAAGTGAAAGTTTATATTGGAAATTCGCTTTGGACAACAAAAATTCCTAAAGAGTCCGAGCGATATTCATAATATTTGTAGATATGTTTTAATAATTTCTTTTCCAGCCGCTTACATGTCTTGAGTTTCATTGAACTTCGAAAATTCTTAAAACATTTCGAAATCCTGTGTGACATGCTTTGTGGTTCCATTGTCAATCCACCAATCACATCCATATACTTTTTGTTCCTTCGGATAAGCACTAATCGGGGTTATTAACTTTAATGGAGGCAGAATTCTTCACAGATCTTCGGCAGTTATTTACCCTGTGTCCCATCTTCTTACAGTAAAAGCAGGAGTCCTCTTTCTTAGTAAATATCTTCTCATCCTCGTCTCTACAATTTCTTTTGAGCTACACAAATAATGACTCCTGGTTATTCTTGGGATCGGTTAAACCTTTTTGAAAAGCATATTTGCATCAGCAACTCATCCAACGATTTATTTTCTTCCCATGTAAGCATCATCCAACTTGAACGGAACATTTCAGATGAAGTGGGTAAAATAAGTATCATATCCGGCAAAATTTTTTCTCCTTTAGTCCTCAATCTGAATTTGAGTACATCCCACAGGCCTACAGGTTTCACATGCACGTTTCTTATGCATAACTGTTTGGTATATCTGATCTGTTATGATATCAGTTATAACTGTCTTCGCATATGAATTTGCTTTGCGATAAAACTCGACCTTTTCCTATGATCTCTTTCAGAAGCCTCTACTGCTCCATTTTCCAAGGGTTTTGGTATCTCAATTTTGTTGTCGATGAAATCCAAAAGTCCAATATAACCCGACCATCCTTTTCCATATCGGATAGTCCGATGCACAATATAATGGCTTCAATTTTCTTTCGTAAATTCCACTACTTTTTCTCATATGTTTGCCTTTAATTAATGTCCTTTAGCTTCTTTTTTGGAAAAAAAGTAATTTGTACTTACCGTGTATTTTTTCAAAATTATGTTTCAATATTAATGTCATATATAATTTATTGTCTTTTTTGGTGCACTGATTTTTCGATTTTTTAAACATAAATAACAAAAAAAAAAAAAATATATATTAATAATTTGAAAAAATATAACAAAATATGGCAACGCCAATATTTCACGATCTCACTACTCTATGGCTAATAATAATTTTATATTTATTTTTTTATATATTACAACAATAATTTGTTCTCTAATCAATAATTTGTTTAATAGGATGACTCTACTTAATGGCAATTGGTTATAAACATTCTACCTATAATCACATACATATATACTCATATGCAATGAAATTACAGCTGTACAAAAAACATACGATACGATATATAAAAAAGTCTTTCATTTGCTTTTGTGGTTTCTCATAATCCGGCTGTACCATTCTTTAAGGCTTCGAATTGTTGTTGGGTTATTGGGCGATAAATACCATCGCTATTGAGGTAGTACAAAGGATCCTTGAATTTTTCAATATTAAATCCTTCCAACATGAGTTCACGTTTTTTCATCTTAAAGGTTGAGGTTCGGGGTATTTGGTCCATGACGCGAACAAACAAGGGTCTCGCATAGGTTGGCAAACTTGCGCGTATACCCACAGATAAATGTTGAAAATCGATTTTACGATCAGGATCTTCAATGGCAGCCATTCCGGCTTTACCTTCAACGTGGGGAATCTGAGGAAAATCGAAAGCATTTTTAATTTATTGATTATTTTATTTATTTAAGAAAACTATTTACCTCCACACCATACACCACACAATCCTGCAAGCCTATCACACTTGTTATAATACCCTCAACTTCCTGCGTTGAGACATTCTCACCACGCCAACGGAATGTATCGCCTGTACGATCTTTGAAATAGTAATAATTCAATAGGTCACCCACTAACATATCACCGGAATTAAAGAAGACATCGCCTTTTTTGAAAACATTGTGTAAAAGTTTCTTTTCCGAAGCTCCTCGATCGGCATAACCATTATATGTGGTCAAGGCGTTACGGGCATCAATTCTACCAATCAGTAGACCAGTTTCACCAGGATTACAACGTATACAGAAACCTTTCGAATTGCGTATGGGTTCTCCGGTCTCCTCGTCCACACGTATCACTTGAAGGTGGGTAATATGGCGTATGGCCATGGGGATAAATCCGACGGCTCCTACTTGATTGCTAACATTGGCTGAAGGGAAAACAACAACTTATTTTAGTATGAAGGAGAATAAAAAGAGGAGGAAAGAAGCTAACTTACCCAAATTCGAGTTGCCCTCCGTCGAACCGTAGAGCTCAGCAATATTAGGTATATTGAAACGTGTTGTAAACTGTGACCATATTTGTTCCCTCAAGCCATTGCCATACATAATCCGCAAGCTGTGTTGAGTATCTTCGGGTTTCGATGGAGCCGTCAATAGGTAACGACATAGCTCACCAATATATTGGGCACATGTGGCCTTATATTTAATACAATCTTTCCAGAATTGTGAAACTGAGAACTTCTTGCGCAAAGCTATTGTACTTCCGTGAATTAGGGCAATACCCACTCCTACCACACCGCCGGCAGTGTGATAAAGTGGCAGGGCATTGTAAATAATATCGTTGGGGGTAATTGCAACCATATGATAGGTTGCCGTACTCATAAAGAGATATCTGGAAAGAAGAAAAGTAGATAAATATTTATCAAGGTTTGCGTTGCTAAGCATTTTGTAGATTTTTGAGCAAGGGTTTCAATCGAATTGTCTCTTATTAGATATTTTGAGTTATCTTTGTGAGGCAATCTTCCTACCAAAAAGTATCAATATGAAACAGCTGATTATTTAGATATCTGGTTTTAAAACATATAGGAGGTGATGCAAATGTGGTATACCCATTTGTTTTTAGATTGCCAAATTTTTATTTTTTATCCGATTAAATTGAAAATTTACACTTAACATGCTACATGTGTTGTCTTTCCATGTATCAATTTGAAAATAATATTATTCTAACAATTTAAGAGATATTTGAGAAAATATTTGAAATCCCATAAAAAGTGATTTTAAAAAAAGTGCAGGTAATGTGGTATACCACATGATGTTAATGTGGTATAGTATAATTTTCACTTCCAATTGATATCTTATATAATTTATTGTTTTTAATGAATGCGAATTAGCTCGAGATTTATGTCTGTTAAGATTTTTAACGGATACGTTGAGTGCAACTTTAATTTTTATTATATAATAATGTCTACACATGGCAATATTTAATTTTTGTATGGAGAAGTTGTTAAAACTCATAGCCTTTGTTTTTCATCCTTGTGATTCATGGTAGACTCTCGTAGAGTACAAATGTTTCACATAGTAATGAGATTTTGTCTAGTGCTGGCCTTTTTCCATGCAGAATCAAGGTATACCACATTACCTACACTTGTGTTTACCGAAGAAATGTCTAGTTTTTTTTCCAAATTGGTGATTATGTGGTGCAATCGCGCATATTATTTGATTTTTAGTTCATACTGATTATTTTAATGCTTTAGTAATAACGATTAAAGTACATCCGTAAAACAAAAAATTATTTTTAAACTTCAACCGAAAAAAAGTCAATTTCATGAAAATTTTTATTTTTGGTACTGATTCTCAACGTGATTTAAATAAATTAAACAGGTCATTGCTATCTTATTTTTTTGAGAACAGCAAACTATAGAACATGTTTCAGTTATTCTAAAATTTTCAGTTTACAAAAAAAGTGACTATACCAAATATTTGTGGTTCTCATTACGTGGCAAATGTTCCTATTATTATCAGTCTGTTGTTTGGTGTAGCTCTTTTTTCTTAATTTTTGGGGACATTTTGCAGAAAAAAACTAAAATGGGTCCATAAAGCTCCAAGAGCTCGACAAGCGTAAATTAGTAAAAAATATTTATTCGTTTAGGATCGACATCTCTACCAGGGTTGGTTTCTAAAAACTACTTTGTAAGGACCAAAAATATGTTGAAGAATATGTTATTCCAAGGATTTCATATCCCTATATTTTTAAAGAATATTTTTTTTTTCAAAGAATATCAAGGCCATTGACGAGGACGAATATTCATTCTAGAAATAACAATGCCTTAAGATCACCCGTTCTTTAGATTGGCTGTTCTATAGATCACCTGTTCTTTATATCAGATCAGCTGTTTTACAGATCAGCTGAATTTCTACAAACAAACAATGTTTGCAGTACATTGATATGTCTAAAATATTTTGCAGAATCAAACCGATCAATTGTTAATAAATGTATTGCCGGAGATTTGCATTTATAATTCTGTTTTTCTTTTAATTTTTTGGTTTTAACAGCTGGACGGTGCTATCCTTATAAAGCTGCCTAGGTAAGGACCAAATAAACCAAAGGCTATGTATTTGGTAATTGGCAGCAACTTTTCTATATAGATCCATGAGGGGCGGCACCATTATTTGGGAAATATATATAATGATACTGCACCATTTTAGGGTTTTAAGCGCAAATTCCAACTGAAGGCATTCCGGGATCTTGGAGAGGCGATACATGACCATGTTTTGAGGATTTTAGTAACGTTTTCTATATTATGAGGCTGTAATGCGGAATTTCGGGTTCTTGGAGAGTATTACAACATCTTCGCAGGCAATCAGCTGTTCTACACGTCAGCTGTTTCTTATATCAGCTGTTCTTTAAATTATGAGTTTATTCGCAATAAATTTTCAATATAGGTCAATGCGTTTTTAAAGCCTCGATGTACCACTCCATTTTGGGGGTTTAAAGGTTTTAGACTCTGAAGGGGTAGCAATTTGACATTCCGGAATCTTTGAGGGTTAAAACATATTTGCAGAAAATGTTCGATATATGACCTCGTGTTGACATAGCCCTTTGTAAAGGATCCGCAACATTTGCGGTTTGTAGAAGATGTTAGTAACATTTTATAATTGAAGAGTCCAATATCTTTGAAGGATATATTTAATATAGGACCATGTTTCGACATAGCCTACATACCACATTCCTCACATTTTCTGCATTTAAAAGGTTTTAGAAAATGTTGAAGACTATAGCAGAATCGTTTAAAAATTTTTAGAAGTTCTTACCTTTGGTTTGTTATAACAGCCGCTTTAGGTAGTCCTGTTGTACCCGAGGTATAAATATACAAAAGTTTATCCTTTGGCTGGCAATCATTTATGTACATCGAAAGATTTTCAGGTTTTTGATATTTCAAATCTCCCGTCAAGTCCACAGCACCTTGAAATGTTCACAAAAATATTAAATTCGAATAACCTTGAACATTACAACCCTCCACTCATCACCCAACTTACCCTTCATCAAAACCAAATTATCATTTGTCCGCTGTTCCTCATCACTAAATTGATAGATTTGCAGTGAACGCAAATCTTCATTATCGATAACTTCTTTTAGAACCTCCACCAATTCGGTGCCAACAATTATGGCCTTCGAATTGGCCACTTTGAGAGAATGGATGAGAGTATCCCGTCTCAGATTGGAATTAATTAAAGCTGTTACTACACCAATTTTGGACAGGCCCAACCATATTGCAGGATATTCCGGACGTCCTTCCATTAGCAGAGCTACACAATCACCTTTACGCAGCCCCTTATCCTTAAAGTAACCACCAATTTTATTGCTATAATCTTCAACATCTTGAAATGTCAGACGGCGATCATCAATTACGAAGCAAGCTTTTTCAGGATGTTTCCTGCAGTTCTCTTGGAATATTCTTGCCATAGACCATTTTTTCCATTCCATAAGTAAGATGAAAATGTTCATTTTTATAAAACGATAACCAGCCCTAAGGGACATACAAAATATAGACGTTAGTTGAAGTTATTTTCGTACTAAAATTTTGGAACTTACACAGTATCTCTTGGCACGGTATGCACTAAGGCATACACAAAGGTGGGATTTCGTAACATCAGAGCCATTATGGCGCCCAAGCCCAAACTTAATTTGGCGTTGTCTTTGATGAGCAGAAATATAAGGAAACCACCCAGAACTGTAAAAAATCTGGTGGCATTTTTCTGTTTGAAATTTAATTCTAGCAGCAGATTCATTGTGATTCGTTAGTGAGTTCTGAAAATAAAGAAAAAAAGGAATTAAAAATCAATGTCTCGATAATTAAATGAGTTAATTGTTGTTGTCATGTTTTGAAAAAGTTTTTGTTGACCAAAAGGGTTACATAATATATTGTAAATGAATAAAAAAGGGAAATAAGGAACGGTAGGACCAGTTGAGTTTATAGCAGAATAGGTATGTATCCTTCTACCTATATTAAAGGTTTTCAAGTCGCCCAGGTCAAAGGCATATGGTGAATGTATATTAAATTTGTCATTTCGAAATAGCCATCGGAGGCCCCATAAACTTGAGAAATACTCTTGTTCCGAATAAAAAAATATATTATATGGTCGATAGAAATCGCAATAATAAATATTCAGCCTTGAGAGCTCCAACAAATCGCCCCATTTTCTGCATTTTGTAGGCTTTCCAATAGAAGTGATTGTACTGTAGTAGTCATATATACCTTGGCAAAAAATATGGCAGTATATGCCCATTCTTTGACGTATCCTCCATATAAATGTCTCGGACCACTTTCTGTATTTTGAAAGTTTAAGCTTCATTTTCTTACCGAAATGGTTGAAATTTGGAATAGCAGGTTTTAGAGGGTAAACAATTTCTTAGCAGAATTTTTGTTTTCAAGATAGGTCCTTAGAGGATGAAAAACATATTTGCAGAAAATCTGTGGTATGTAGATGTTCAGGGTCATGTCCAATTGCCCATGTTTTGTTTTTATTTCACCAACCCATTTTCCGTATTTTCAATGTTTTTTCTGCACTTTCTTTCTTGGAAGGGGGAAAACATATCTGCGGTATATTGTTGATATAGGCCCACGTTTTGGCAAAAAAGTCCTGGTCCATTTTCGGTATAAAAACTTTGTAAGCCCTATTTTGCAATCCCTAGGTGCCCAACGTTATATATTCCGGATTCTTCGTGAAAAAAGACCCACGAAAAACCCATCGACACATTCCACGCTCAGAGGTGTTTAAAGTCATGTTTGCGATCGGTATTCCTGCACCTTTGAACAAATTCAGAAGCAGTCTGGCAAAGTGTGTCTGGCAGAAAATGGTGATGTCCAGTAGACTTGGACCAAATGTGGAATTTGAGAACTACATTTTTGACCTAGTCAAAGTTTTAACTACCTCTGTACCGCCATAAAAAAAATTACATCAGTTTTGAGATTCGGAGAAGGATAGTATTGTCCAAGTGCTGCTACTATAGTCTAAGTAAGCATTTAGAAACAAGGCCACCTCTCGTCAGACAAAACTCACAATCTACATGACACTAATACTATCCGTGCCGCTGTATGGATTTGAAGCACTTGCGCAAGCAGAGTAGGCAGCTCTTTTTGAGAGAAAAATTATCCGAAAGATCTGTGGGCTGATCTGCGTTGAAGGTGAATATCGAAGTCGGATGAACCACGAGTTATACCATCTATACACGAACATCGACATAATCAGACGACTACAGTGACTAGGTCATGTTGTGCGAATGGATGAGCATGCCCCAGTTTGAAAGGCATATAAAAGCGAGCCAACTGATGGTTCTCACAGAAGGGGAAGACCAATAATTCGATGGATAGTTCAAGTGGAAGGTAACATATGGAAACATGATCTTTCAAATTGAGCACAAGAATAGAAATATTTTTTAAAGATCGGCTTTTGAAACAAATGTTCTGTCTCGGGCCAGCTAAGTAAGTAAGTTCATGGTTGGCAAAGACCACGGCAGCCCTGCTAACTTTTACGTATTTTCAAGGTTCCAACCGAAGTGGTAGTAATTTGGAATAATGTATTCTTGCTGGGCCATAAACATCTTTGATTAAAATTGTCCCCAAGGAACGTATTTAAATGATCTTAGACTTGGTGGCAGTAATTTAGCATTGGTGGGTTAAAAACATCTTTGCGGGAAATTTTCGAGATAGCCCCTATATAAAATTCCCTGCACACGTTCTGTGATAGTAAATAGGTCCCTTCTCATTTTAGGTATTTTGAAGGTATTATCAGGTTTTTTTTCCATTGAAGTGTCTGTAATTTGGCCTTTCGCTTTCTAGGATTAATATTTGTAAATAGTCCCATATAAATGTTTCCGGCCATTTAGATGTTTCCTTGGGTGGTAAAAAAATATTTGTAGACATTTTTTGATATATACCCATGTTCCCATATAAAAGTCCCACAATATTTTCGATATTTTTAAGGTTTTAGTCTCATTATCGCACCGAAGTGGTGGTGTTCTTGGATGGTGAAAAACATTTTAGCTTTACGGATTCTTGGTGAATAAAAACCACGTCCCAGAAAAATTTCACTTTGGGTCTGTAATTTGAAGTGTCTGTATTTTGGCCTTTCGCTTTCTAGGATTAATATTTTTAAATAGTCCTATATAAATGTTTCCGGCCATTTAGATGTTTCCTTGGGTGGTAAAAAAATATTTGTAGACATTTTTTGATATAGACCCATGTTCCCATATAAAAATCCCACAATATTTTCGATATTTTTAAGGGTTTAGTCTTATTATCGCACCGAAGTGGTGGTGTTCTTGGATAGTGAAAAACATTTTAGCTTTAAGGATTCTTGGTGAATAAAAAACCACGTCCCAGAAAAATTTCACTTTGGGTTCAAGTTTTTAAAAATCCTACATATAAATATCCTGTCTCATTATACACTGTATTAAATTTGTCATTCTATTTGCAAGACCTCGAAATATTTACCGGAGACCCCATGAAGTATATATATTCTTGATCAGAATAAAATACTATGTCGATTTATGGGTGTCCATCTGTCTGTTTGTCCGTCGGTTGAAATCACCACAAAAATAGCAATATTTGAGATTGAAATTTTGCACAGAAATTGCTAGTACTTCTAGGTTATTGCAGCCCCATGTTTTAGTGTAGCTCCCATATAAAGGTACCCCCCAATATTCGGTATTTTGGACACGTTTTCCAACAGAATTAGCTATAATTTGGTATTTAGGGTTCTCATTTTCATACTCATTTTCGAACTGGACATTGTTTTTTATGTTATTTTTATGGTCATAGACCTACAGTGTAAATGTCGGGTTATTGGTGAATGCTATTTCGAAACGTATAGTGATCTTCTATAAAGTGAAATGAAAGCATTATATGCGATCTGGAAAAAGTCGTCAATGTAGAAGAGCTGCGGGATGGAGGATATTGAGGATTGTTCAACTGACAAAATTATATTTGGTTATGCTGCAGAGTTATGGTACACTTTCTTATCATCGATATAACAATACTTCTCCATATAACCATTTTAGAGAGTTGAACGGCATGTACATTTTTACCCGGTTAACCTATTTTATGAGGATTTTCTTATAGACAACACGAAGGAACAAGTATTTTTATAGACTTTCCAAGAATAATAATATTAGATAATAGTTCTGTTCCTCCTTCGATCCCGTTGCGAATCATCTGTCGATCGGTTTGTCTCTTCCGTTCTTATAACGTTTATAACGACATATCACTTATAGGGATCAATTTCGTCGGTCCCTTGACTAGCGTTATAAATGATTTCGACTGTATATTCAGATATGCTCGAATGTCGCTCTGAAAATTGCAACAGTGTGCCTTCATCTTAATTTTGTCCTAATTTCTCATTGGAATATTATCTATGAATATTTAAATATTTACTCATGTACTTACAAGTTCCCGCACACATACACACAAAGATATATCATGCACATGTTAAAGCCTATTGGTCTGTTTCTGTACTGCAAGAATCTACTACTTTTTACTACGACAACGAATTTTCCTTTATGATATCGAAGAAAATAATAAAATCGAGTAGATTCTTGCAGTTCGGGAACAAACGATATATGATTCAGAAACATTCATATAAAGCTATTTTATTTGCTTACTAATATCGAACTTTGGACTGGAAAATTACTGAAATAATCAGTCATTGCCTGGGAGAGCGTGCGATTTTATTAATATACATACTCACATACGTATGCATATACAGATTGGCATACAAATTTACGCATTTATAAAACAATAATTATGTTAACAACTGATAATAATAATTAAATGATGAATGAAAAGCAAATGATTTCGCTTTTTATTTTTTTTTTTGTGACATGATTGACATCTCTTCGGGTTTTGGGGTTTCGCGTTGATATTGAGGTTTGCTCAATTAAATAAAATGAAATTTGGGTTATCTATTGATAAATTGAAATAGTGCAATTTATAAAAGGTGACATATGTATATCGCCTATTACTCCTACATAGATTTGGATATAAATTCTAAAATATTGGATATATCTTAAATTCCTTTATTTTGGAGACATTACTCAATGGTTTTAGGTTTTGTAAGTGATACTGAAATATCTTATGTTACTCATTGAAATAATAATCAAGGCACTTGTGGACAAATATTGATCTTTTCGGGACATTATTTTCTAGGCACATTTTTGGAATATGCATTCTCAGATTTAATATTAAAACAACTGAAAAAAGTATTAAGTTCGGTGAGGCCGAACTTTGGATACCTATGATGGTACACTGCCAGTTAAAAGTGGACCTATACCGACAATTCTACCAATCGATTGCTGTAAATGGGGATTTTCTTAAAATCTCGAGAACCTAAAACGTGGAAAGTTATTGACAACACATAGTGGGGTGGAATATGTGTATGGAATCCTCAAAATATAGCAATTTAGAGGGCCTATATTATTAATTTAAGTGGATTTGGAACCCAATAAGAATCCTAAATTACAGCCAATTTGATTGAAAAACTTGTACAGAATCTTCAATATCCGCATATTTATATGGGGGTTACCCAAAAAAGTGAAAATTTTTATTATGGAGAATTGGTACACAATAAGAACCCAAAGTACCAAATTACAGTCAATTGGATTAAAAAACTTGTCAAAAATTCTCAAGATCGGCATATTTATATGGGGGTTATCAAAAAAGTGGACCGTCATTTATTGTGGAGATTTGGTAGACAATAAGAACACAAAGTGTCAAAGTACAGCGAATTCGGTT